AAGATCAGTTCTGGGCTTTTCTCTGTGGAAATAGGCTGAGTTTAAACAGTTTTCAATATCATATCCAGAGCCGGTTTATGCAGGGGTTGATCACAGTTCTAGACAATGGTCCTTAACTGCTGCTCTGCCTGGAATCATTAAAATACAAAAACTAGAGTTGATCTTTGTAGCTTTTATTACTTGCATTTCTTTCCTTTTGTTTATACAACTGTTTAAGTTTCTTGATAGTCTTTAAATGCAGCACAAAATGCACCTTTTGGTGTGGAATACATATGTTATTTGTGTCTTGGTAGGTATGTGTTCTCCTTCAAGGAACACAGTTCTTAATTTCAGGTGTTACCTGTTGGTCTGTGTGATTTGCAAGCGGTTAAAAACTTGCAGGCGACTTTGTTGGGACTTGGAATGATCTCCTTAATCCCCTCTTCTCACTTCCTTGCAAGGCCCTTAGTTAAGATACACAGCCCTAAGCCTCCAATGCAACTGTTTGGGCCAGTTGCTCTAAGCTCCATTAGAACAACAGGAAAGCCTTACTTAGGAGAGGATTATTCCTTAGGCACTCAGAGGCAAAGTCCACGGTGTGTGGACTGTTCTGTGTCCGTGTGCATCCTCTGAAATCCACCCGAGGCAGGAGCACAGCCCTCAACGTCTCAGCAGCTCTTTGCTCAGGCTGAAGATCACCTGCTCTTTACTCTCTGGGGTGTTTACCCTGTCACATAAATTCCTGTGGGACTCGAGTTCTCATCGGGCTCTGGTCATGCTGTAGCTTTAGAAGCAGTGTCAGGTTTCCCATTGCATTACTCCAATTAACTTGGGAGATCAAGATAGCACTTAACTTGTTTGGCTTTCTCCTCTCTGAGATGAAACCTTGCACGTGAAGCTTTTGAAGTCTGAGGGGTTTGATTTCACTCCTTTGTGCAGGTATTTTCTTATTTCATAGCTCATCAGTGGAATCGTCCCTCAGTTATTTCTTCTGCATCATTTTGAAATTGGTCGTTTCTGAGAACAGTAATTAAATCTTGATGTTCTGTGTTAGAATCCTCTGTCAGTGCCAGCAGCCCTGAGTTGAAGGGTCTTTGGAACAGGGTAGAATTATGATTATTACACAGAATGGTTGGGAGGGACCTCTGGAGATCATCTTGTCTGACCAGAGCAGGTGGACCAGGACCTGATCCAGTTAGGATTTGAGTACATCCAGGGATGGAGGCTCCACAACCTCTCTGGGCAGCCTCTCCCAGAGTTTGATCACCCTTGCAATAAGAAGGGGGAGGTTTCTTATGTTTATAAACTGAAATTCCTGTATTTTAAGTTGTTCCCGTTCCTCTTGTCTTTTCCCTGGGCACCACCACGAGGAGTTTGGCTCAGTCCTCTTTACTCCCTCCCATCCGATATTTACACACCGTAGGATCCTCCCCGGCCTCTGTTTTCCAAACAGAGCAAAACAATTCCACTCCCCTCAGCCTCTCATTGTACGCAAGAATCTCTCATCCCTTAATTCTCACAGCCCTTCTCTGGGCTTTTCCCAGCAGATCCATGTGTGCCTTGCACTTTGGAGCCCAGAGCTGGACACATCCCTCCAGGTGTGGGCAGAGCAGAGGGGAACAAGCACCTCCCTTGACCTGCTGGCTCCTGTGCTTACATTTTGGGAGGGGAAAACCCCAGAAACCTCTGAGGGTCCTCTCCTTGAGCCAGTGCAGGGTGTTGACTCCCTCCTGGCCGTGGTGATGCTTTCAGAGTGGGAATGTGCCAGTGGATGTTCCCGCTCTGGCGAAGGTCAGTTCCTCTCCAGGAATGTGACAGCACGTGGATCTGGAGGTGCAATTGGGGAAGTGTCAGAAGCCCTTTGGTCAGCCCAGGATAGAAAGTGATTTAGTCCATCAAATCCCTGGTTTGTGAAGTTCCCTTTTCTGGGTGTGGTCTGTGAAAGCCACTTTGCTGATCTACAATTCGTGTCCCAGCTGATCTCTCAACTTTGTTCCTCATTTCCCCTCGGTGCCCCAGGTCAGGCCTTTGAGTCACCAGACCCACTTTCCTCACATGGGACTTGTTACATCAGTCACTTAAGGTTTTAGTTCTGGAAAACTTCTGCCCACAAATGTGAGGATATGATTCTTTTGTTCACAAATTGAAGACTGACTTGGGGTTTTTTCCCCTCCCTCTCTTATCGTTCAGGATGTAGTGGCTGTATTGCCACAGTTGATAAGTTATCTAAACCCCTTTATTATTATTGCATTTAATTGGTAACTAAGCATCCAGGGCCTGTGCAGGGGTTTCCCATCTGTTGGGCAATCAGCACATGGACACCATGAGGTTTTGGTGTTCTCCTCCATCCCAGAACAATTCCTAGTCCTGCCATCAAATCCCACAAAACACCGGTGAATGTCTACCCCCAGAAGCTGTTGTGGGTTTACCATATTGGTTTACGTTGAACCCTGCAGATTTTGCCTTCGTGCTCGGGGTTAAATCTTTACATTTTGTAAACCTCCCAATGGGAGCTCACCTGAGAACAACAATTTTAAATTGCTGGTTGTGCCTTGCTCTCGTTGAGTAACTGAACGCAGGCTTGGGTAAGTACGTCCTGGTGAGGTCTTGTTAATAGGCAAGGCCTTAATTGGAGCTTTTATAATTGCTGTTTACAAAGTCTGGCATTCATTACTGTCAAAGAGCAGTTAAATTTGCATAGATATCCTCATCAGCACTTGCATCCTCCTGGGGTTGTTTTGTTTCTCGGTGTATAATACTGCCAATTTTCTGAGGAAAGGAGAAGGCACAACTTTTCCCAGTCCCTAATCAGCCTGGTTTATAAGGATTTTTAGGCTGAGAGTGATGGCTTAGGAGTTGCAGAGTTTACTCCTGCTTGAGAGAGAAAACTTCATTCATCTGTCCTTTCATTTATTAACTGCAGTTGATGTGTTTCATTCCTCCTGTGGGAGATCTCCCTTTGCCAGCAGCAGAAACCTTTATTGACACATTTGTGCTGTTTGGGCAATATCCTTGCACTGAAAAAAAAGAGGCTGTCACCTCCTTGAGCACCAGCTGGGTTATACACTGAGGGAATATCAGCTTTAGAGTGGCTTGGGTGCTTTTTATCATAGTTTTTTTTTCCTCTTGTTCCCCTTCCCAGCAACTCTCAAATAGACTTTTTGCATGTACTGTGGAGCACACTGTCCCTGCCAAACACAGTGGCTTTGAGGAAGACCCTCTGGTAAAATAAACACTTGGTTTTGTATATTCAAAGTGTTACACAAATCCAAGATATTTTTTTAAATTATTTTTAACTGTTTTGCCTCCAGAAGGTCCTGTCTCTCCAGTGGGTTGGTGGCAACAGGGATTTCTGACTCGAGCTTCATACTCATTCCTCCAAATATTGCCTTAAAAAATATACATGTTTAAAATCCGTTATTTTTAAAATTTCTTTTTCAGTGGGGTTGAGGGGAAGGAAAAGGATTTTATACATGTTTTACTTCTGTTATTTCTGTAGGTGCTGGAGAGAACCTGGAAAACACCATGGCAGCCTTTCACCAGTGAGTACAGAAGGAACCAATAATGCCTAAACTGAGTGTTCTGGGTGTCTTTAGTGAGTGAAGCAATCCAGGAAGGTGGGACTTGCATCAGTTCTTTGGGGTGTGGTGTCCTATTTCTGAAAGTCATCCCTCCTGTGGATGACTTCTTGGGGGTTGCCAAACATCCACTGAAACCAGAAGGAGTTGGGATACCACAAATCAGGATCTGTACACGGGAACAAATGGAAACAGAACCCCTGGGGCCTGACATCCTGTGCTAGCTCATAAACCAGGAAACAATGCTGCTTCTGTGTTCAGTGGTGATTATTCCTGTTAATTTATTTATCATTATAAAGCTAAAAATGCCGTGTTTTTTTTCCCCTGCATACACTTCAGTCACGCAACGTGTGAAAGCCTCTTACCCAGGGCTTTAAAATGGGGTTGGGACCAGAAAGCCTTTTAAGCCTCCAGCATTTAAGTAGTGAATTCTAATAAGGTCCTCAAAGGCATTTGAAAAAGGAGCATATCTCAAACTCCAGCTGCTGAGGAGAAGGGACAGAATTATGAGGGCTGCTCTTTGTTTTCTTGGGGGTTTTATGATTTGCTTTGTGCTAAGTGGCCTCATCAGTTTGCTGTTCCCCTGCAGCCTGAGGAGTGCCAGCTCTCCCAACCAAAGAAAAGAAAGTGCTGCACTATTTTCTATCTCCATGGAAGCCCAGCACAGTTTTGTGTGGTTTTCTTTTTTTTTTTTTCCTGCTGGCCTACCTTTCTTCAAGTCTGCTACCAGACTTTCTGGGGAAGTGCTGCTGCTTTTTTTAACCATTTCTTAATTTTCAATGAAGGGCTCCTGCAAGGGAAGTTACACTTTAATTATTTTTGTTTCGTTCTCAGAAATCAGCTGTAAGTGCTTGGAGCAAGGACTGTGCTAGGAGTCATATATTTTGTGACAATACAGCCATTTACCTGAGTCTCTTCTGATCTGCTCATTCCCCTCTCCACCAGTAAAGGGAATGGGGTAGAAAATCACCTATCTGGATGGTGAAAAATGATCAGGATTGGCTCAGAGGGCTGGTGGGAAGTGATGGATTTATAACCCATCAGATTTGATGGGAATACAAACTGGGTGTGTCTGCAGGAGCTGCTCCTGCAGGTTTGGACAAGCAGCAATATTTGGCTGTTGCTGTAGCTGAAGCCAGAAGAGAGTGTGTGTCTGCAGCCTTTGGGTTTGCCTCAGTGACAGTCCCCTAAGTATTGACAAGAGCTTTATTTGTGCTGTTCACACTTTATCAGTGATTGGAGTTTATCCAATGCTGTTCCATGATAATGAAGAGATTATTTTAGTAGTATAGAAACAAAGTGTATGGTGGGGAGGAGGCCTTATTGACAGTTTTATATTAGCTTAACTTCCAAATATTCTGGAAATGAAAAGCTTTTTGTACCAGAGACAATATATTTTTGGTTTTGCATAATAAAATACCTGATAGGTTGTGGGGTTGGTTTTTTTTTTTTTTTTTTGGGGGGGGGGAGGCAATAATATTATACTGCATTTAAATGAGTCTGTAGTGGGTTTAGATTTTAAAATAACTGATTTCAAACAAGAGCACTCCCATCCTGATTTGCAAATGGGAGCCTCTCTCACAGGTGGAGTTCTGGAGCAGCTGGCTGTGACTCCACATGTGGAGCCTCCTCTGGAGCAGTGTGGATTTGACATGTTATTCCAGAGCTGCAGAACCACCTGATTCCCAGCTGGAAAAGCTCAGCACTTCAGGAAGCTGATTTAGCAGTGAGGGCCTGGCAAATCCCCAGATTTGTTAACAAGGAAAGTTGTTGTTCTCCCCTTTCTCTGCAGCACCAGCCCTGCCTTTCTCAAGCCCTAATATTGCTAATAAATTTTGCTGGTTAAATGATAATGTGGGCACATCTTCTCCCAGTTTGGCAGATCTCCTGCTGCAGATTTGGAGATGCTTTTCCTCAGGAGGAAAAAGAAAAAAACCACAAAACACCCAGAACAGCCTGTGATTCTTCCGTCTGCAACAGGATTTTGTTCCTCTCCTAATTCTTAATTAGCAGCCCTGGAAAACAATTCACAAATTGGTTTTAATTTGACAACCCTCCTCTTGATCATTATCCCAGCTGGACCAGAAATTGTGTTAAACACTTGAGGGGGGTATGTTCTGATTTTGTTTATTTTTTTCTGATTGCATTTGTGAATGTTTAAGGCCTGTGAGACAATAAATCCCATCAGGAAGATGCCCACGTGGGCACAGCTCAGAGGTGCTGCAGGTTTGCTCATGGCTGGATGAAAAGAACAGCCCAGGGTTTGGAAGGAAGTGTTCAGGCTTTTATCTGTCTGCTGGAATGACTCCTCCTGAGTATCTTTTCTAATTAAATGAGCAATTAAATGTGCAGTAAAGCTTCAGGTTTTTTTTTGTTCTGCTGTGAGTTTTCTTGTGCTTATTTTTCATCAGCATTATTGCCACTTCCCTGCTTTCTTTACTGCTCCTGTGATCCAAGCTGCTATTGTAGATTTGGGTTTGGATTAGAACTTTTCAAACAGTAGCTTGGAACAGGAATAGCTATTTTTTATTTGAAAAATATGACTGGATGTTTTAGGGGTTCATTTCTTTTTAAATTTAAATTTTTTTCTTTAAAATTATTCTTTTTTAAGGCTGTTTTGCTACTCAAAAAAAAAAAGCCAAAAGCCTGAAAGTCCTACTGCTAATTTCCTGATACATTAATCAGGAATGGATTGAAATCAAGTTATGTATTAAAAAAAAGGCTTTCACATCCCTGCCATTTGTTATTTCTGTTCCCACAAATTTGATTACTTCCTTAAAAAACATCTCACTTCCTCCAGTGAGGAGGAATGTGCTGCCACTAATCAACATCACACTCCAGCTTCTGAAAGACCCCTTTTTAGGAGCGGGTTTCTCAATCCCGAGGCTGCAATCCTCAGGTGTGTCTGCCCAACACTTCCTGGGGAAGATGGAGCCGAAATTCCCGTGCTCCAATCCCATCTTTGATGCTTTATTTATTCCTGCCTCAGCTTCCCACTGCAGCAGAGCTGTTTTCAGCAGGATTGTGATGATCCATGAAGCATCTCAGGTGCTTCCAGTGGGGTTAGCTGATGGAATGGCAGGTTGGATGAGGACGTGGCTGGATCACAGGTGTGTTCCCTTGCAGTGCTGTGAATTTGGGGACAGACATGCTGGAGCTGGACTGTCACCTGACCAAGGACGAGCAAGTGGTCGTGTCCCATGATGAGAACCTGAAGAGATCCACAGGAGTGGATGTCAACATCTCTGACCTCAAATACTCGGTGAGTTGAGGGGAAAACGTGCCGGGAGACGCTTCAAAATGTGTTTGTGGAGAGATTGGGGTGGGGGTGTCTGGTACCCAGAACCAAAGGACAGGGCTCACCCTGTCTTACCAAAACCAGCCCAAAGTTCAGTGAGCCCCCTGTGCAGTCAGAGGATCCAACCTGGCACATTCCAGAGGGTGATTTGAATTCCTGTTCTGTCTCCCTTTATTTTTAAGGAACTCCCACGGTATCTCTGCAAGTTGGATGTCACGTTTCAGAAAGGTGAGTTCATCTCTCGCTGGTTCAACTGAAAATTTTCCGTTTTATAGAGATGGTATAAAAGTGGTTTTGCTTCTATCAGCATCTTGGTAAATTTTAAAATTAAAATACAATCCTGGCTTTAGCAACAGCACAGTAGTTACTGCAGGTAAGACTTCAAACTCAGAAGGAAATTTTGTTCTCATTTGGTGTTTCTTTTTCATGTTAATCTCGTTGCATTTGGTGTGTGGTAGCTGAGCCTGTGTTTGCTATTTCAGGGCTTTAGCATTGCCTGCACTCCTACTGTTGCTAAATAATATCTGAATTTCATGAAGTTAAAACCTAAATGTGCAACGTGCTCAGGGCACTTTCATTCTGGAAAAAAGCTTGTCATGATTAATTGCAGTTTAATGAAGTAATTTTTTTGTTTCAAAATGTGATAATCCCAGGAACTCTATACTTTTTTTAAATTTTAAGGTAACAAGTGCTGTGACATCTCAGCTTTTATTCAGAGTGGCCACAGCAGTGACAACTTTTGTTGTGTCCCCAGAGTGTCAGTGTGAGGGGAAGGACAACCGGATCCCCCTCCTGGAAGAGGTGTTTGAGGCCTTCCCGACAACTCCTGTCAACATTGACATCAAAATGAACAACAATGTGCTGATCAAAAAGGTACATGAAAACCCTGGGCTGAGCTAGATATAAATTTATTATATTTTTATAAACACAGGTATTTTTATAAATACAGAGATGTGGGTTGGGATTTTTATACGTGTAGAGACACGGATTTGGGTTTTTTTTATAAATTACATAACAGTGATTTGCATCTGGACACATAATTTTCAATGAATCCACGTTTTCTGTGTGAGAGTTGTGCTTTTTTGTGCTGCAGGTTTCGGACCTGGTGACTCAGTACAAGAGGGAGCATCTGACGGTGTGGGGGAATGTCAATTATGAGATTGTATCCAAGTGCTTCAAGGAGGTAGGAACGAGTCCAGCTGAGCTTTGTTCTTGCCTGCCTCTTACTGTGTGTGGTCACCTAAAAATATCCCCTGTAAATCAAGGTTTAGCTAGGCCAGACTTTACTTGTGGGGAGAGATTCTGTGCTTGGGTTGTGTTCTGCTTTACTGTGCTGCTAAAATAAGTCAGGCACAGTTAACAGCCCTGTACTCTCCCATAAAATACTTGAGGAATTAACATTAATCATGTTTTGTTCTTGTTTTATGTAGTAAAGTGCATTACAGGTGTATGCCAGGTGTCCTTAGAGCCTGTTTTGCACATCATTCATCTGATGAAAAAGCAATTTTTCTAAGGATTTCTCATTGTCTGTTTCTTTTCACGAAGATAATGAATGTGACCCCTAGTTGTCAGAGTTGCATCAGTACGAGGCTGTTGTACAGGTGTAACTCTAATCCTTTTTATGCTGAGGAGTTTAAAATTGTGCTAATTCCAGGGGAGTTATGACCCTGAGTGGAGCTGATCTAGCTGACAATAAAGGAATTGCTCCAATGCACCTTCCCAGAAAGAGAAGTTCAAGTTTAGGGGCAGGAATATATGGAGGGCTTCACATATAAAGACTTGGCAGCTGAATCTTTAGGTGCAATTTTAAATATACATCGATGAGTTAGTTTATTTGCAGCAGCCTGGACAATCTGCCCAAGATAACTGAGGCTCTTTCCTTCCTGGTTCCTGCAGAACTCTGACATCGCCACCATCTTCTGTGCACAGCGGGTTCTCCTGCTGCTTGGCCTGTTCTACACTGGTCTGCTGCCCTTCATTCCCTTCAAGGAGGAATTCTTTGAAATTCCCATGCCCTCCATCATCCTCAAGTGAGTCCCAACCCCTTGGGTGCTGCTGCACTGACAGGAGTGTAAAGCAAGTGAGCTTCGATGCCACTCTGAGCCTTGGCTTTGCCAGTGCCCTGGTGCCACCTGCACACTGATGTGCAGCAGTTCTGTACATACAGCTAATTCCTGCACTTTCCTCCCTCTTTCTGGAGAAAAAAATTCAGCCAAGAGGCAAAAAAACCCAGGGTGGACATGAGATTTCAGGTGCCCTTTTTCTCACCCTTCCCTCAGGATGCTGCTGGAGGCCCCTCTCTGCTGCTGCTCTTGGGTGCAGCTCATTGCTCTTGTGTGACCCAATTCCAGGTCACTGTCTCAGTCAGTGAAATTACTGCTCTAATTTGGAGCAAAGGCAAGGTTGATTCTTCACGTTCCTTCTGCAGGAACATCTCAACCAATATTTTAATCTGAGCTCTGATAATGTTGTGTTTCCTCCTCTCCTCAACAGGCTGAAGGAACCACAGAAGATGTCAAGAAGCCAGAAATTCATTATCTGGTTGGCTGACACGTAAGATTTTTTATCTGATGAAATTTTTATTCATATTTTGCCCTTACATTAACAGTTGACTCAAGCAGCCAAGACAAGCTGTGGGTGTCAGTGTTAACCACCTGAGTTGCATGAACAGGAAGTTTTCTGTACTGAGCTCTCTGATCACTTCCCTGTGGAAAACTTATTTGCAGAGCATGAACAGAGGTTGAAAATTGGATGTGGGTTTGAAGTTCTCTCTCCTTTCCACAGGTTGCTGATGAGGAAAGCACTGTTTGACCACCTCACAGCTCGGGGCATTCAGGTACAGAGGGGCCAAGCTAAAGAAATGTGCTTTTAACCCAGGGAGAGCTGATGAATTGTGGGTTGTGCTGTCTTGCTGGGATGATAAATGGATTTTTAATTCCTGAGCTGTTGTATTTGCAGTTCTGTAGTTGCAAAGAAAGATTGGTATGCTTGGAAAAAGACTTTTTAATTTGAATCCCTCTAAGTTTGGGGGTCGATGTTTTGTTTTGTTTTTTTCCCATTTCAAATTGAAACCTAAAAATCAGTTTATATACCTGTTGTGGAGTTTTCACAGAGTAATGTCTTGATTTTTAGAAAGATCTAAAGCCTCAGTGAAACAGAATTGGAGTCACCACTAAAAAATGCCCCTCTTGGAAGGGTATGTTTGTGTGCAGGTCTTTGGCATCATAAGGGAATAATTTATCATTTTAAATATATCTGTCTCACGTGAAACAATAGAGGTCAAAAAAAAAAAACAACTTAGTATTTCCTGTAATAATTTGCTCTTCTGTCCCATCTCAGGTGTACATTTGGGTGCTGAATGAGGAGCAAGAATACAAGAGAGCATTTGACCTTGGAGCAACTGGAGTGATGACAGACTATCCCACAAAACTGAAGGAGTTTCTACATAATTATCCAGCCTAGAGGAAAGGAAACAGAGGAAGTTCTTGCAGAATAGATTGTGAGCCAAGGATTTTCTTCATTTAAAAAAAAAAAATAATAATAATTGGGGGGCAGCATCCACAGATCATTTTGCTGGAAAGACGTAATTGGATGATCTGTTGTCAAGTCACTACCTAGTGTAAAGGTTGTCTATTTATTTTACAGCTGTCAAGACATAGTTTACATCTGTAAATAGCTCATTTAGCAGTGGCACACTCCACAAATGGTGGTGACTGGGAGGAGAGCCGGGTACCCTGTAGATAATGAGCATTGTTTCACCTGTCACAAGTTGTTCCTAAGCAGCTGTCAAGACATGCCAGTTATTCCAGTTATATCCTAGTGAGCAGAAGGTGAAGGATTTCTGGAAGTGGTAGCCTGTGTGTTTGCATTTCTTGTGTTGCTTTTAGTTTTCAGGTAACCTGTAAAGCAAAAGGAAAAAGAAAAAAAAAAAAGAAACAGGCATCTGGGAGTGGCCAGCTGGTTGAGCCTGTGAAGTGCAGTCAGTAAAAGTGGTCACTTTTTAGCCAGAATTAACTCAGTCAGGATGGATTTCCTCTGTTATTTTCACTGACAGTGAGAAGTCCCAACTGGACTTGTGTTGCAGCTGCTTTTAGACCCTTTCTGATGTGTTGGTGATTCTGTGGCTTGTTGGTCAAGGTCCAAACACAGTATTTAAACCAGGAGCTGGGTTTAACAGCTCAAGGGGCCAGGTTCGCCCCTGCTCTGAGCTGACCTTGGCAGGGCAGTGTGTGGCTTTCCAGAAGGGCAGATTGCACTCACTGCAGGTTACTCTCACTTGGAAA